CCAATGCTCTCCCCTGCCACACCCCACTCCAGTACTCCCTTCTCCAGGCACTGTTTCCCTTCCAGGGGCTGCTCTTGCCTGGCCCCATCTCCACTTGGCTAATTCCCCCTGTGGCCCCTGTATTGAACTGTTGTGTTGTCCATTTCCCTGTGACAGGGCTCTGGTTACAGAGTTATTGATTGGTTTTCATGCAGACAGATGGGCCCTTCCTGAGCTCCCATCGAAATCCCTGCCTGTATGGGCTGATTGTTGCCTCTCAGAGTGTAGGATTGCACTGGAGACCACCCTCTATGCAACCTCCATGGCCCAGGCTGTAGACGGTAATAAATGGAAGCAAACCTCAGCAATAATAAAAGCAATTGAGTGGGTTACCTGTGCAGACACAAGATTTATGCCTCTTTATTTTGATGTGATTGTTTTATTGAGTTCTCAGAATAGTTGGGACACTTTATTTATTTGTTTGTTTGTTTGTTTGTTTGTTTATGGGTTTCCCTTTCTTTTCTTGTTTGCATCACCCTCTAAACCCACCTGGAGCATTCATGAGGGGCAACCCTTCCTGTCTGCCTCTTCTCAAGAGTTGCCAACTTAGGTAAGAACTCAGGGCAACCAGCCATTGCTCTCACCTGAGAGCCACTTTGTGGCCTGAACACCCACTCTGAGCCAGCCAACAGGGAAGGAGACCAACATGACTGCTGGCCAAGTCTAAAATAACTAAGAGAACAAAAATGGCTTTTCAGAAGGACAATGCCAGCTCTTTTTAAGGAATTAAGAGGACCAACAATCATGGCTATTTCCCATACTACTCTAATGATGGGTGACCTCAGCAACAGGAGACCCTGTCTGGGGAGGGTCAGGTGAGCAAGCCTTCTCAGACAGAAACTGAAATGTGTGTTTGCTATTTGTGACCTAGTCTGGTAGGCCAGGGGTGAAGAAGGCAAGTTCTCTGTCCTTATTTTTCTCATTCTTCTGTGGGGAGAAGTCTCCTTCTTAGCCATAACTTGCCTTGGCTCTTTGCCATGAGACCAACAGCCCTGACCACCAAACAGCTGCAAAGCTATGGAAATGTGGCAGGAAAAACTGTGCTTCTGGCCCAGCTTTGTGCCAAACCAGGTCCAAGAGTCAAATGTGCAATGTTCTAGAACCTGAGTTTCAGACAGGGAGACACAAACCCTGGCCCTAAACATGTCCTCAGCATTCCCTTGGCTAGGATGAGTGGCTCCCAGCTTACTTAGAAAGATCTTTGAATGAACAGCTGGTAGACCACTGCCACCCCACCGCCAGAGCTCTGATGAAGACCTGTGAATGACACAGGATGGAATTCTTTACCAGCACGGAGGCCGTAGCCTTCTTGAAGCCAGTGTTGCCGCTGCTGAGAGGATGAATGTGCTCACTTAGAGCCAAACAGGCTAAGAGAGAGTGTAGGTAGCAAGTGCTCAGTGAGAAATAGACCCTGGAAGAGTCCACTCCAATGATCTAGGGGCAGGGAGTGCCCTGGTCCCAAAGAGCATAGGGCAGGCTGAAAAAGTTAGGAGAGTGATAGCCTTCCGTCAGCTCATTACAAGAGATTGCCCTCAGGGGATCTTCAGTAACCCTAGACTCTACCTGGAGATTGTGCCTGGTCTTTCAAAGGTGCTGTATTCTCTGCCCAGAGCAACAGCCGAACGAGAAGGCTTTGGCATATAATCAGGAAAATCCTTCCTGCCTACTCAATTGCGATGTAAGTAGGTGACTTTCCCTCTTTCAGTAGCATGGATCTCCCTCCATCTCTTCCCCTCTCTAGGCCATTTCCCACACCAGATTTCAATCTCCAGTCACCTGTTTATAAACACCCGCCCTCTACAGCGGCAGTGTACAAGCCGAAGAACTGGCAACTCCACGCTCAGTGATCAGTCACCCAATATTGAGAATGACTCAGATGCTAAGAAATGATCCACATGTTAAGCAATTCAGTTAACCCTTCAGAATTTGGACAGTGGTTTCTAGGGGTGTAGGAGGTGGGAGGCCTCCATGACCTACTCGTTTGGCTCAGAGAAGTATTTCTATGAGGATTTGCCAATGGAGAGTGTGGGTTGGGTGCCCAAACCCTTATCGCGACAGAATTAGAGAAAGCCAAAACCATTTTTGAAAGCATAAAAAGCAATTTAGTTTATAACCACAATGCTATATTTCAAGTGCGGTGACAGCATCTGTTTTGAGGAGAAGAATATGAAAAACCTTCCTTTTTGGCTCAGGTCGGTGAGCATGTGTGGACTTCCTTTCTTGCCAACCACCAGCACATGCACACCCTTACTCATAATGGTTATCAAGTACCCAACACATGTGGGCATCTCACCAACAGGAATAATCTCAACTCAAGAACACCCCAGTGCACCACACTTTCTGTGCAGGGGGAAATCTCCAGGCTCTTTCCACACAGAGTGAGAATTCACAAAGTTCCTGACATCGTCAGCACCAGCAGAAACACCTGCCTTTATCAGGCTTTATGGTGAAACAACACAACTCAGGTAACCCATTCCCCTTCAGAGCAAAGCACCTTCGGGGCTGAAGCTAAAGCGTGGGGCCCAGATGCATCCCTCCAGCTCCGACTCAGCAGCACACCGAAAGGCTCCCAGAATTCTTTGCAAAATATTAACCGTGATAGGATTTTGTCCCAAAACAAAATTGAGAATACCCTCACTGCTTCTTGTTGACAAAGCAAGCCAGAAAGCCTAACTGAGGACCCAGGGCTGTCTGCCCATGCTGCTAGTGACTTCCCTGTTCCTCTCCTCCCACTCTTTCTCCATCTACAGCAACACCTGCCCACAGATGGCTATTTCTCCACACCCAAAGGAAGCCTCCGTGCCCCTCAGGTGACAGGACTCCACACAGAGCAGATTCTGCCGCTGTCAGAGCTGCCAAGCTGAGGCCGTTCTTTCTCACACTCTCATTTCCCCCGAGACTCACTTCTCTACTTTCTCCCAGTTCTAACAGGTGCACCTCAAGGCCTTGGAGCTTGATCCTGGGGTCACCTGTCCCCTGCTCTCCATGGCTTTTCAGTATGACAGTATCACCAAACTTATACCTAAGCCAGCTTCCAAAAACATCTCAGTCAATGAAGAGTATATTTTGGGGTGAGGAGGCAAGGGGTACTGGACAAGGGGGGCTACCAACACACCTGCCTTGATTGCTTCAACCATCCACCCTTCAAGAGAAGCAATCTGCCTTACCTGTACATGTCTTGGGTTCCTCCAAAGTAAATCGTATCACTGACAGCAGCATTTCTCTCTAATGTTCTCCAGAACACCAGCACCCAATCCCAGTACCACTGCTCCTCAGCAGGGCTACTCTCCCCCCAAGACCTCAGTGCCAACTCACTCAAAGGACCAGCAGCCAGCCAAGAGGCTAAATCTCCAGATGGCTCAGAAAACAATGCGTTGTCTCCTTTCCTTCCCTAACCACCATTCTGGCCTCAGCCCCAAAGCTCCCCCAGCCTTCTCCTCTGGTTTTTAAATGCAAAGACTCATTTCTCTCCCAAACCACCCTGCATCTTTCTCCAGCTCCTTTGGAAAATGTCTGAATGTCAAACTGCTATGCTTTCAATACCTAGCTGAGCCAGGCCCAGGGAGCTGGAGGGTTTTCGGAGGGTGTATAATTAGCTGATCAGTATTATGTTACCCTGTTCATAACTGAATAACCATTTTAATACAGATGGCACACACTGGGATAATTTGTGGGGTCGCCTTGCAGTACGTTACAGCACGAGTGTGGCAGAGGGAATCTTCTTTAGCCAAGGTACATTCTACCAGCTCATTTTACCTGCTGTTTTCAGGATGATTTGGGATAATTCCATATCATTTGCAAAATATTTTTTTAAACCTTGATACGTGATGCCAGTTTCTAAATTATTAGTTGTCCTGATAATGAGCCTATGAAGACTGCAAAGAATAACAAGGGTAGGAAACCCTTACCTCTCATCTCATTTGCTGATTTGCATTAAAATGGGGGGCATGGGTTGAAAGGCTGGCCAAGGTTATCTGGAACTTGTACAGGGTCTCTGTTAACGTCAGGTTGTACAGTTCTGTGATGTTGAAGCCATCCTGTGTTTGCATCCAACTGCTGCTTATGTGTGCTGTACCCACCACAGACAGACACATTTGTACACTGGCTGGGTGTACATACATGGACGGAGTATGCACATGTGTTCTTCTAGGGGACATGTTGGAGGGGCTTGGGGATTGGGAGACTAACTATCTTCTGCTGTTATATGTCAAGCTGACTCCAGCCTGTGTCATCCCCATGTGTCAGAGCCTGTCATCAGTGCACTCTTAGGCCTGGACATAGGCACTCCAGATGGTTAGAGGCATCTCCTAAGGTTCAGCCTTAGAATTCAGAGTTCTCCCTCCCTGACTGACATCCCACTCCTTGTCCACCTTCTCTAGTCCTTGCCAATTACTGGCTAGTGGTTGGCATTTGCTCCACCGGCCTGGATACTCCTGCTTGTAGGCCGGAAATTTGTTCGAAGCTGGCTTGCAAGGCCTGGGCTCCGGGGAGGCAAGCTTTGTGGGAGTTGGCAGGGAGGGTGGGGGAGCCAGGACAGGCTGCTGCCCCTGGGGAAGGGAGTATGCCTTTAGAAAGGGAAGTCTGTTTGGAGGTGATGAATAGACACTGGTCATTTTAAAGGCTTCGGCTGTGGGCTGTGATTGTCTCTAGATACCGAGGTGCGTAATCTTGGAGTCTTAATTACCACAAACACTTGGATTCATTTCCAGGACACCAGCGGGAGAAGCCTGGCAGGGAATACTCAGCCCTAAGGTGGAGACAGCCCTGTCTGTCTGTCTATCTCTCTACCTTCCAGGTCCCTCTCCCAGGCCAAAAGACTTTGGGACTGGGACTAGGGAGGAAGGGCAGAGGCTAGAGAAAGAACCAAGACCCCAAGATCCCAAGACCACGTGCTGGGGTGCCCTGGTGATCAGGAGCTGGAAGCTGGAGTCCTGCCCTGCAGCTCAGGGTGGCTTGCTCACCTGTTGATGGAAGAGACGCTGGGCACTGTGTCATTGTCGCAGATGCCCTCAGCCAGCAGCCGGTCGCGGATTTCCCAGGCGAACATAGTTGGGTTCTGTCGCTTGTACTCAGCAATCTTATCCACCACTTTGGGCGTCGCCACTTTGGGCTTGGAGCCGCCTATCACTCCGGGCTTGATGCTGCCAGTCTCGTAGTACCTGCCGGGAAGGCCGGCAGGGTCAAGGAGCATCAAGAATCGGTTGTGGCCAGGGCGGGGTCTGTAGGTTCCTGAGCCGCTGAGCCACACTCCTGCCCAGAGCAGCCGCGCAGAGGGAAAAGGCCCAGCGTGGCTGAGTGGGCTTCCAGGGGCTGCTTGGCTAGGGCAAGGGACACAGCAGAGGATGAAGGGGAGGACAAGGGGACACTCCCTCTGGGGAGGCAGTTATAACAGGGGCAGGGTGCGCACCAGCCCGAATAGGCGCACCTGGGAGTGGAAGCCTGACTTTCAATTGGGTAAAGCAGGAGGAACAGGGCTTTTCCCCCACGCAGACCAGGGCCGAGGCACCATCTCCAGCACTTTCCCACTGAGTGCTGAGCCCCTTTGGGAACCAAGACCCTCCTTCTGCCTCCCCAGTGCTTATTTTTCTCCTCCTGGGGTCCCATTTTTGCTTCTCCCCCTATTCTTCCAATCCTCCACTCTGCATATCTCTGCTAGAAGAGGCGTCTGGCCCCCTTTCTGAAGGAATCGGGTTGCCTCCCCCAAGGACCCTGGAGCTAGGCAGGCGCTTATACGACCCCACTCCACCCTTGGTCCTGGGGCTGCAGCCACCTCCTGAGCGCCGTCTCCAAAAAGGAGCAGCTCTCCAGATATGCCCCCCCACCACCACACACACAGTCTGGCATTTCCCTCTCCTGCCGGCATCCTCAACTTTTAGCCCAGTCCTCAGGCTGGCGACCCAGGACCGGTGGGGGAAGGAGGCAAAACATCTCCCTGGGGCAGCTCCGAGGCCCTCACCTGCCCAGGATTTTGCTGACACAGCCGTGGCTGACCCGCAGCTGCCGGGAGATGTCGCAGGGCCGCACACCCTGGTGGGCTAGCTCCACGATGCGCTGCCTCACTACGTCGGGCAGGGGCCGGCCGTTCACAAACACCCCCCCAAGCTGGTTCACACCCCCGTGCCCTGCTGGGGAGAGACAAGAAAAAAAACACAACACCCCACACACAGCAGGGACCGGCCATTAGTCAGGGTCCGCGGCCCAGGACGTGTGAAAGGAGCAGGCAGGGTGGAGGGGCATGTCCCGGGAGAACGGTGGCCCGAAGACCACAACGCGGAGGATTGGGGATTGGAACCCGCGGGCCGTAGAGACTCGGAAGTGCAGATTCTGGGCGGAGGACTGGGAAAGAACACGGCTCAGAGACCAGTGCGACACAAGGGAGAAAGTGAGGGAAAGGACAGAGACACAGGGCAAGAGAAAAGAGGAAAGGGGGGGGGCAGCAAAGGGGGAATTAATGCCAGCAGGAAAGAATGTAGCAGAAAGGAAGGGCCGGGCAGAGGACGGAACCTGAGTGGAGCGGGATCCCGCCTGAGCCGCAGGCAAGATGGAGTTGTCCGTGTGCAGGCGAGGTGCTTGGAGGCGGGTGCTTTTGGGGGTCTTCGTAAGGGTGACTGTGCATGAGGACTCCGAACACAGACTGGGACATCTCTAAGTCCCTGACATCCTCTCTACCTTTTTCCTTGTATTTATTTTTAATCGGATTGGAATTTTCCCACCTCTTTTTCTGTGTTTTTGTTTTGTTCTTTTATTTTTTTAATCGAGAATTTTTCTTTCCTTTATGTTTTCTATCCTCTCGCCTCCCTAGTGTCTCAAGTTCAAAGAAAGCCAGGTAGAGGAGGGAAGGCTGAAGAGGCAGGGGCCCGGAGTCGGCTGCGCTCAAAGACACGGAGGCAGCGGTGAGCCGCGCGGCGCCGGTAGCAGCCGCAGAACGCAGGCTGCTGGGGCTCGCGGCTGCCGCTGCGTCAGGCTCGGGGTCCACCGCCTCGCCCGGGTCGCCTGGTATAGGTTGCCCCGGCGCGCGGAGGGCTCGCGGAGAACCCTGTGCAGCCAGCCCAGGCCAGCTGGTGTCCTTCTGACCTCAGACCTGGCAGCCGCCCCGACACCGCGCAGCAGAGTGTTTGTTCGCCTGGCCAAGAGGAGGGTGCTGGGTCTCCAACCAAACTCCGCGGGCTTCCAACCTCGGAACCCAGGTGGTTACCGGATGCCAGGCCTGAGGGCGCTGACCGGCTCCCCATTCTCCCTGGCCTAAAGCAGTCTAGAAAGACTGCACCCAGAGCGATCAACCCGCAGCCGCAGTTACTGATCAATCCAAGCGCAGACTTCTATCGGCCCAGTTGGGCCGAACCGGGCGGTCAACCTGCAGCCCCTGCCCTATAAGCCTCAGGCGACTTTCGGAGAAAGCGGGGACATCTGTGTCCCACTCAGTTCTTTCCCGTCTCCTTGCGGGGGGGACCCAGAGCACTGGCGAGCAAAACCCCTAGGGAGAGGTTTCGGGGTCTGGAGGTGGGGGGAGGCCGGAACATCTAATTTTACCCCCATCTCCGCTGGTCTCCCTACCTCTAGCCCCACTCCTCACCCCTCCCGGCCCTCCAAACCTCAACCATCAATAATTTAGGCCCCGGGAGAACTCGCGTTACCGGTATGAAAAGGCGGCAGCTGCGGGCAGATTAAAGATGAATAATTCAGCCTCCCCGGGCTCTGGGCCCGGCCCCTCATCCCCAGTCTAAGGGGTGGGAATGGAAGAGGACGCGACGGGAGTCCAGGGCTGGGGTCGGAGCCGGCTCCGAATTGGGCCTGGAATGCGCCACTGCCAACGGCGCCGACTCGGGCTGCGGCTGCTTGCCGGCCAGTCCGCCAGCCCGCCGCCCGCGCCGCGGTCTCTCTCTTCCTCCGATCACCTTCAGCTCGCTTGATCCCTTTTAGGTTTCAAAGTGGCACCCAGTGGGCGCCCGGGATTCAGAGAGCCCCCCTCGGGAACAGCCAGAGAGAACAGCGAGAGCAGAGGCAGCGGAGCCGAGGAGCCGGCGGGCTGGGCGAAGACGGCGTGCAGACCCGGTTTCACTCCCTCAGAAAAGGAGCCTGGATTTCTGGCTTGGCTCGCGGAGACTCGCAGCAGCTCAGGGCCCCTGGCTGGGATGTCCTGTGCTTGGATATTCTTTAGGAAAACATATTTTATCCCAGGGGCATTTTTAAAAGCTCCCCCTGTAATGCTAAATGTATGCTTAGAGAGAAACTCAGCTCTTCCTCTTTGGCTCTCCTGTCTGAAGCACATATCCAAGCTAGTTCTAAAAAGTTTCCCTGTGAAAAGTTACAAATCATCCTTAATTATTAATCTACAAAGGAAGAGATGTTTTTATTTGGAATCTATTTATCTAAAAAAAAAAAAAAAAAAAAAAAAAGCCTGAAAAAAATCTCTGGATTGTTTTCCAAGCTAAAGACAAATGACATGAATTAAATTCAAATTTAATTAAAATAATTACCTTTTCTTATTTTTTTTTGTTTCTTTTCTCTCCACCTCCTTTTTTGGTCACATCCTTTCTGTTTTTTTCTCTTTTGTTTCCTTCCCTGTTTTTTATTTTTCTCTCTTTTCTCCTCAGCTTTGGCATTTGCCTTCCTTTTGTTCTTTTCCCATATTTTCTTCCTCTTTGCCTACCTCCTGGCTAGGTCACTGGCTAAACCGACCTCACCAGGAATGTGAGGTGGGCAAGGAGCCTCCAGAACTAGAAGCAGAGCTTTGCTCTGCCCAGGTGCCTCCTGGAAGGCTCCTCTAACTCCATCTCTTGCTGACTTGAATTTCTCCTTGGAACCTCTCTTTGTTTTTAGAGCATCTCCCCTGGAGAGGCAGAGAAAGGTGACCACCACTTCCTACAAATCTCAGACTCCCAACTCAAGGAGAAGAGAAGAGGAAAGAGAGGGAAGGGGAATGGGAAAGAAAAGAAGAGGAAGGAAGTATTTCAAACCAGCCCACGAGAAGCCTTGACTGGGCTGGCAGGGCACAGAGATGCTGGGAGCTGAGGGTCAGAAGGGGGCACCCCACCCCCATACTCTTCTGCCCGATTGTCCTGACACTGAGGCTGCTGGTGCTCCATGTCTCATCCTGGACAACCACATTCTAAGTTGGAGAAAGGCAGAGATGAGGGAAGGGAAGAGAGGGAGGCAAACAGAGAGGGAGGGAAGAAGAGAGAGGAGATAGAGAAAACACAAACCCTGGAAACAGCCAGCCCATTAGTCCCCCAGCCCAGGGCAAGAGGGTGGCTAGAAACGGGGGTTTCTGTAGGGGATGGGGTGTGGATCCACGACTTGAAAAGGAGCAGGTGAAAGGAAGGAAGGAAGGTGATGGGCGCCAGGGAAGGTAGGTAGGCAGGTAGAGGTAGAAGTATGGGTGACAGAAGGCAGAAGGAGAGAATTTGAAGGCTTTAGAAACACTGGGAAATCAGAGAGGAAGAACGAAAGGGAAGACTAGGCGAAGCCAGCGTGTCCTCCAAGATAGGACCTAAGCACCGGGGGCCAGGGCCATGCCAGGACGGAACCGGGTTGGGACGGGGAGCCCCGAGCTGGGACAGAAGCCGGGCGCCGGTACTCACGGTGCATCGCGGAGAAGGGGTCTGCTTTGCAGTGCATATCCATGGGGAGGCAGAGGAGCGGGAGCAGCGCGGCCGCCGCCGCCGTGTCGCCTCTCAAACTCAACTTCAGGACTTGAGGAGAAAAGGGAGGGACGGTGGGGAGTGGGGGTGAGCGGGTGCCCAGCTGCGGCGGGGCGCACACGGGCGGGGGTGGGGGGCGCCGCGCTGCTCTCCCGGCGGGGACTCTTCCCTGGCCGGCCGGAACTGGCAACCGCAGCCACCGCAATTTCCCACCGTCGGGGCTCGGGGCTGGCGATCAGCAGAACGGCCCCGAGGCGGCGGACCGGGCCGGGGGGATCTGGGGGCGCATGGCGCGTGCGGCTGCTGCGGCCAGGGCTGAAGCTGGGAGGGGGAGGAGGCTGGCTCAGCTCTCCTGGAACCCGGTCATCCGAGAGGCGGCAATCGGAGAGGGCGAGGAGCTGGGGTGGCCCGAGGGCGCCGGGCGGGGAGTCGGGCCGCTCCAAGTGTCGGTGAGTTGGCGAAGTTGGCAGAGAAGTAGCAATCCTCGGGATGTCCGAGCGGGCGCCTTCACGAGGGGACAGCGCGAGCCGGGCCCCCGCCCCCGGAAAAGGCAGGCGCAAGCCGCCGCGGCCGAAGGGCCGGGAGGGAGGGAGGGAGCCGAGCGGCGCCGGCAGCACTGGGCTTGCCCCAGGTGGGTTGCGGCTGCGAGAAGACTCGGCCAGAGACTGGAGCCTCAGCTCCCGGTGTGTCTCTCTCTAAAAGCTGTAAAGTCCCCTCCAGACCCCCTCCCCCTCCCCGCGCTGGGAGATGGATGACTTGTCAGACAAAGGCAATAGATTCCACCACTCTGTGATTCGCTAGCGCCGGAGCCCCGAGCTTCGGCGAGGAGGGCCCCGCGCCTGTCACTCCGGTGCCGGCGAGGGGAGGGTAGGGGAGGAGGAAACGGGAGGAAGGAGGGAGCAGCGGGCGAAGGAAGAGGGAGGGAGGGGAGCAGGCCGGGGGAGGAGGGGAAGGGGAACCCGGGATTAAAACTACACTGAGAAACGAAACTCGCCGATAAGATAAACGTTAGATAAGGATAAAGAGCGGCAGCCTAATGAATATTCAGGCTCGACAGAGGGCCGGGGAACGCACCGTGCTTGGAGGCCAGGCTGGAAGTCACAACTCATCCAGCCTTGCCATCCCGAGCTGGGTCCGCATCCCTACTCTTAACCCCCCTACTCTCTGCTCTGAGTTCCCTTCCGTTCCTTCCTGGTTCTTCCTTCCTCTCTCTGGTCCTTCCCGTTCGCCTTTCCCCCCTGAGGTATCTCCCCACGCATGCACCCCCCTTCAGTTCTCATTCCGGGGCAAAGCGCCCGGCAGTTAGTCCTCTCTGGTCCTACGCGCAGCTGCACCCCCTTGCCCATCGGGGTCTGGGCAGCTCAAAACGCTCGGTTTAGAATAGAGGTGGAGACCTAAGGTGAGGACCCGACTGCCTCAGTGGGACCCAACAGACAGTGGGAGAGCATGGGGACTCGGCTCCTGGAACGTGGGGTGGCCAGGAAGGAGGGCTTGGGGAGGGAGACAGTGCAGAGCGACTGGTCGCTGGCGGCAGAGAACGCGGGAGACCAAAGCTGGCTCTCCCCGGCTGGGGAGAAGAGGCTGCGAACAAGGCTGAGCGCCGCTCGCTGCCAGCTCCGCGGATCCGGAGCTAGCACAGGGGGCGCAGCGCGCTCGGCGGGGTCCCGCTCCTGCCGGAGCCGCCGGTCCAGCCTCCGCAGCCCTCGTCCGCACTTGGTCCTTCGCTCGCTCGGGTCCGCTCGCACACACCAGGCAGGAGAAGCCCTTTGTCTCCTAACTGGTTAAATACAGAATATCCAGGAGATCTTTATGAAATATTTTCCCTCGTCTCATAAATCATCTTGGCACTTCAGCTGATGTTTTAACTCTCTCCCTCCTTCGCCGCCCTCCCCCCCTCTCTGGGTTTGCGAAACGGAGGCTCAGGGAAGCCCGCGTTGCGCTCCAACCTCCCGGACTGAAGGCTCCTCTGGTCCTTGCCTGCAGATCCTGGCTCCCGCGGAAGCGCTGCGGACTCGCGCCACTGTCCCGGGCGGAGCCCAGGCAGCAGCTAACAATGGGGGCCCGCAACCACCCGACTCAGCCAGGAGGAGACTCCGACTGGGCCTCTTGCACCCAGGTTTTGGGGTGCCCTTAACCCTCTTGCGGGGCTAGGGCCAGGCTCATCCTGACAGGGTTCTGAGCCACCCACTCATTAGGAGACCAGGTCTGCTGGTATCCTAGCATTTGCCCTACTTCCTGCATCCTCCTGAGCCCGGTCCGCTTAATCCACCTGCGGAGTGACTTCTGGGAGTAAAACACCCTCCCTGCTTGCCTCCTCACTCACAGTCCCCAATCCCACTTCCCTTGGGTGACCAAGCTGATTCCCTAGGGCGGGAGGTTGAAGGCGCAGGGTCCAGCCTGGAAGGTCAGTCTCTTCCTCTCGAGACCTGCAGATGGCGCTCCCGGGTTTGCTTTGGCCTGTAAACCCCACGAACACGCACTAACTTCGTGTGGGAGTGAAGAAGGAAAACCAGAGATCTTGCATCCTGAAGGGAAAGGCTCCCACTTCCAATCCTGGGAGTAAACGGCTGTTAGGTGGTATTAGTTGGTACAGCCTTGGGCTTTTTTCAGGGAGGTAATTTATCTAGAATTGGGGTTGGGGGGTACATCTTGGAAGAGTCCTTACTGAAAGGAGCTTAGAACTCAAGGGGCCTTTTGCCAGCGTTTCCCTATGTTGGTCAAGGAAGTTGTCTTGGGAAGGCTGAACTATTGGAGGAGCAAGATTGTAGGCAGAGCCCCCTCCACACATAGACTCAGATTTTTCCAGAACCAGCTGGACACATCCCTGTTACACATATGATGAAGTGTGGTGGCAGACAACAGACATTTGCAAGAGGCACCTTCACTTTTTGTAAAGAAGGGGGCTTAATGCACAAAGTGTGCTGGAAGTTGTACTCACACTTACCCTTCACATGTACCCCCTAAGAAGTGAAGACCTTTCTATGATAGTCCACTTCCCATCTAGCCCCTGAGATTCTAGAACTCCACCCACCCACCTCACCTCAGCCCCTCCTGAGACCCTTTCTCCACCCAGCACTACACTAGCTGGACACTCACCCTCCCACCAGGCCATCCCCTGGCAGCTTCCTCCTTAGCTTCAGCCTATCCTGGTTTTAGAAAGTCAAAGAGCCCAGCTCCCTGATGATTTTAGCCAAGGCTCTGCCTTCTCCTAGGGCTCCAGGCTGAAGGACTAGCCTCTCCCTCTGATGCTCCCTTCCCTTTCTTCTTCTATGGAGCCTGGTAGAGAAGAAGGAAAAAAAAAAAAAAAAACAAGAAAGGGAAGAAGAAAGAAGAGGAAAGAGAACAGGAAAGAGAAAGAAAGAAAACAACCCAACCCCAAACACAACCCGGGCTCCGACCTGTCAGGGTTGGTTGCTTTTCCCGTCTGCCTCTAAATGAACCTTTTCTCTCTGGTGTTTTCAAAGCGGCCCTTCCACCCCCCAACCTAGGGGCATTTACACTTCAAACAAGGCGCCCGCCTCCCTGCGGAAATTTAAAGGCAAATAAACTTTTGGGGAGTTGCTCTGATACCCATCTCGGGATTTGCTTCATTAGCCGCCTCTGTGCATCTGATCTGCCCAATAAATCTTCCTTGTGGATCTCCGTTTCTTTGCCTTCTCCACTCCCTTCTCTGCCAGGCTTGCCTGGCGCCCAGCGCCCCCTCCCTTGCCGACTTCCTCAGGCAAAGCTGCAGCCCGCCAGAGTCTCTGGTCGTCTGGAGCCTGCTCTGCCAGGGAGGGTGTAGGTGTCCGGGAGGTGGTGGTCCGCCTTGAGCTCCTTTCTCCTCCCCGACAGTTGTACACATGCACAGGCCCCTAAGCCAAACCAAACGCAACTAGCACCCAAAACTACCAAATTTGTTTCGGGGCAGATTGTGCATAAAACGATGGGCTCGTGGAAACCCTATCTGTTGCCCTCAGTTGCACGCAATCCTTTTAGATCCTTCTCATTTTCTGGTTTCCCGGTCCCTGGCCCAGGACATTCCGCCCGGGTGAGGAAAAGCAGAGGCGTGGCTGCCTCCCGTCCACAGGCAGGGCCCTGACCTGGGGCTCAGGCACCGGATCACGAGGAATTTGGAATGGCGGCTGGGTCTGGGGGGGCTTGGGGGGCGGGGGAGACCCCCAGCCGCGCCCCACCCCGCTGGCCTGGGCCTGCCTTCCTCCTTCCACTCCTGACACCTCCTGGGGAGCGGCGAGGGGAGCCAGGGCCGGGGCTCTCAGGGAGGGGATTAGAAATTCCGAAATTAAATGTATCTCCCTAGGAAATGCTTCCCACAGCGAGGACCAAATTAAACGCATTAAAGTTCAGAGGGGAAAGAAGCTGTTTAGAATCAAGGGGGAAAAACTAGTCCGAAGGGGAGAGAAGCAGGAAGGAGGAGGGAAGAGAAAAGGGTAGTACAGAGCAGCAGCTCCGCAGCTGAGCTCCTTGCCCGAATTATTCCCAGTTTTGGTAGTCATCATCACCACAAAAGAAAAAAAAAAGTTCGTCTGACAATCCAAGTCAGGGACGGCAGCGGCCCAGTCGCCCCAAGGGTCCTGGCACTTCCTGGGGCGCACACTCCCAGATAAGATTCCAGGCAGGGGGCGCACGCATCCGGCCCCCTCTCCGGCTCGACCTTACTAGCTCCCGCCCGGCCCTTTCCCCTCCTCCTCCCCATTCTCTCCCCGCCCCTCCCCCTTCCTAGCCCTCTGGTCACGTTGGAGGATGGTTTTTTTTTTTTTTTTGGAAGAGCTTCTGGTACAATATGGAGCACCATGGGCTGCAATTTCACACTCCACGGCACATTCCCCCTAAAGCTACTTTTTTTTTTCCCATCTAAGACCCCCTAATTTCTGCTTCCTCGCTCCCTTCCTTGCTCCCTCCCTCCCTCCTGCTCTCACTTTTCTTTTCCCGCTTTTGTTCCCGATATTTGGGCTCCCTGCTTGAAGCCCGGGGGGCCAGACTACTGGACCGCCCCGCCCGCTCGGTCTGTTGGTCCTGTGGCGGCCGGCGCACGTGCTGCGCCTTTATCCTCCCCGGCCCCTCCCCCTTTAACCCGACTTCTCCTCACTAGTGGTCCTAGCGACCTGCCCGGCCCTTCGCAGCCCCTTTGAAGGGAAACGACAATGCAAGCCACTTGGCCACCAAAGCCGCCTCTTAATGGCACGGGCCTGCCAGGTGACTGCCGCCAGTGGGCCACCCGACTGGGGAGCAGAAAAAATAGTCAAGCCAGGAGAAACTGGGCCAGAAGGTCTATAGGATAGGAGTGAAGGGCTCTACCCAACAGAGAACAAGTTAAGGGGGAGGGGGGCAAAAGGCCCAGTGAGGTCAAACCTGGACACAGCCTATCCCTTCACACACACACATTCACACACGCACACCCCAGACGCGCATGGACCTATGCACTACTATACTAAAGGGACCACTCATCCCACAGCCCATGGGAAGGAGTAGCAGCCACCACCTTTGCCTCTTTGAGCCTCAGTTTTTTCTCCTGTACAATAGGGATAACTACACCTGCCTTGCCTAGTCTGTGGAGCTAGCCAATAGGAAAGTATTTTGAAAACCAAACATTTCTGAACCATAGCTTTCTGAACCCTCTACCTTGCACAAATAGGGAAGGGAGGGTTCTGGGCGTTTAGGCAAGAC